CCCTCTTCAAGCCTCTCTCCCTGATATATAGCAACACAGTGTCCCAGCTGTAACTTGATCTGTGGTTTCAGTTGTTTTTTTTTTTTAAATTAATAGTTGCTGATTGATGCTAAGTCGTATTATCAAATCTAGTATAATTCATTGTTTGGGTTTGGGATTTCCTTCCAACCTTTATCTATGATAGGATGTCTCATAGGACTGTGGGCATAGCAGTAGAGTCTGAACACATTTGAAGTATTCAGTCTGAGTTTGGGCTAAGCCTTGCCTGATTATCTTCATAGAGATTGACTGATACCTGGAAACGTAAAAGCAGCCATTCCATCAGAAGACTGTACATGTATTTTTTTATTGCTCTGGCATTAGAAACTGAACAAAAGCTTCATGTGCAGAAGGTGTCTTATTCCCATCTTCTGTCTCTGTGTTAGCCAGATAATTCCTTTGGTTTTAACCACCCTCATCAAATTTCTTTCACTGTGTTGGGATTATTCTGATAGACTAGATAATCTCCTATTCAACAGATTCAAAGGTCTGTTTTTGTTAGGAACTTCAAATCTATTGCTTCACCTGGTAAGAAGATAGAGTAGGAAATGGTCCTCCAAATAGCTTGAATGTATTCTTAAAACCAAAGCTGGCATGCTAGAATTCTGCAGCTGATTTCAAAGTCTGCAACACAGCAACAGCAACCTCAGCTCCAAGACTGTGAAAGCAACCAATATTAATGTTCTCTGAAAGTCTGCTCTCTCCACAGTGTATTGTTACCCCAGCACACTGCTCTGCATCCTGCTGGCATGAGCAGCCATTTTCATGCTGAAGCAGTACAGATCTCCTTACTCCCCTCCCCTGCTGTTTTGTTTTGTTTTTAAAACTTCTCACTTAGGCTGCTAACTAAAGGCAGTTTCAGTGCAGGGGGCATTGTGGACTCTAATATTGGAGGAGAGGCAGGAGAAATGATGAGAAAAGGGAGTGATTAGGTTAAGGGGATATGTCATTTGACTTCTGGGACAGAAGACTGTTTGTCTGTTCCAACCACTTACTTAGAACTCCTAGATTGCCCAGATTTATCTAGCTGGTTTGGGGGCATTGTTTTTCATCTGCTGGTTTGTCTTACCTACTTGTTGCTTTTACTTGTTATGGGATTTTGGCAGAAGACTTTCGATGGGGACCAAATCTATTCCTCTTTTCACAATTGGGGTTTTTATGGCCTAAGAGGTGAATTTGTCTCTGGTTTCTCAGTTTCCTTGGAAATGCACTGTGTTTTCTGCTTAATGTAGTGGGCAGTTTGTTGAACTGCTAGAGCACCTTTCCCAAAGCACACATCATTGCTTTAAAAATGTACTGGCATTCTGTTGATTGATCAGTGAGGTTTGTTTCAATAACCATCTTTTATACATATTAGTAAGAATTAGCCATATCTGGATCAGCCTTTGAACACTACATCTGTAGGTGTAGTTAAGAGCCAGCTTTAGTTGAGAGCCTTTTGAGTACAATTTTTCATCACTTGAATCAAGTATCTGATTTCCTCAAGCTTAACTTTTACTGTGTTCTCACAATACCAGTAAAACCTCAGATTCTTGGCAATATCCTCCCACTGTTCTCTGATTCTGTTTCTTCAAATTGTAAAATTTCTTTCTTACATGCCTTAATGCCTCTTTCAAATTTTTTGAGCATTCAAGGATTACTATAGCTTTTTTCTTTAGGGTTAATAATTTTTTTCATCTTCTCTACATTCTTTTCTATAAAAATCATGTTCTGTTCTCTTTTTCACTTTTTCAATTGTAGCGGTGTGAACTACTATTTATCTCTTTCTTTCTCTCAAATTAAGCATAGGTAACATAATTTCAAATTCTCCTCCTCTTAAAAACTGCTGGTCCACAAGAGCTGACCTGCAGTTCCTCGCAGTCTTGAATAGCATTGATATACTCTTGTTTCCCTCTTCGATTTAATAGATAAAGATTTCTTCACCTTTGGAGAATGTTTATTTTGCTCTCTAAATTGATATGACTCAGAAAGTTGTTTCGCCAGACTCTTGTTCCTCCCATTATTAAACTAGTAACCAATTCCTTCATTTCTTGCAAAACACTTTGTATTACCAGCCTGCAGAGGAAGCTTTCTCTAAACCTGAACTTTTCGACAAACCATGGAGAATCTTCCAGGAATGGTTTCAAACAACTACAGCTGTTACCAGCCACCAAACTTCAAAAAACTAAAAACAGATGTTTCTTCTTCCTTCACAGCCAGATCTTTTCTAACACCAAATGATTACTTGTAATGATAATTTTACAAAGTAGAACCTTCCTGGAAAAATGTCTGTGATTCTTCAAATACGCATATGTTCTTATTGAAAGAATTTTCTTTTTATCATCCCCAAGTTACAAACAGAACAGAATAAAACCAATAGACTCACTGTTAGTTAAAGCTAAATAGTTATCTCATTAACCCCAAAAAGGAGATGTAATCAGCTGTTCCTTCAGTCCCAAACTCAGACTGCTTCCATCTAACACTGGAAATGCAAAACCCTAGAGACAGTGGAAAAGCCTTCTTCCCTTCGGTAGGAAAATGATGGAGGCAAAATTTGTGGTTGCAGTGACTTCTTTGCACCCTCTGTGAATTGTGACCCAATATTCCTCTGTGTTTGCTCTGTGAGACAGGCCTGTGCATGCCCAGTGTTGTGTCACTAGATGTGAAGAAAGGAAGGCACTGCCTGAAAAGCATACCATAGTTCTGAACCTGATGCTGGGCTGCCAACAGCATCGTAAATGAGCAAGGTGCATATGCCCAGTGCCCTTAGATTATCCAAGTGTGCTCTATACATAAAACCAGCTCTTTATTCATTGTTATCCCAAGTGATGCACAGCAAATATTTTCTACATCAGCCCCTATGATGACAATTCTTTGGGGGCCCCTGCCAACACAAGCTATGCTTTAGGTATGAAGCATTTAACAACAACCCTTGAAAAGGGAGCTAAATCCAGACCTGCTCTGGGGACTAAGGAGTTGCCCTATAGATAATTATATCTTGTAGTATAATTCCATTTCTCTAAGATGTGGTTCCTTAGAGAGTATCCCAATAACAGACATCAGTGTGACAAGTTCATCTTACCCTCCAGGAGCAGAGCCGCCTCTCTTCCACAGGATTTGCAGTCTCTAAATTGCTGGAAGGCAAGAGTGAGGAGCTGCCACTACTCCTTTCAGGTAGCATGCATGGACTGCAGGAGAGTAGTGTTCCTCAGTGAGGCAGTGTCCAAGAGAAGTGCTTGAATACTAGCAAATAGTTTGCAATGAAAATCAGTTGACTTTTGGCAAATGTTTTGAATAATGTACTTAGTGAAAACCATTTTGTCATCGGGGGAATGAAAATTTGAGACTACTTCTTCAAGAGAAGACATGCATAAATTGATATAAACGTACCAGTGAATTTTTGGACCCATGTCAGTTCTTGTTCCTGGCTACATGTATCAGTGGGAATGATATGCTTATAACTCAGGAATGATCAGGTCCCATGGGGTTCTAGGGTTTGTGTTTCACATGTCTACAGAAGATCATGGACTTTAATAATAATTATTAACTAGATTGTGCATTTATTTTCTCTAACAGGTAACAGCTTCAAGAAATCAGAGTAAGTCATGTACACGAACGGAGCAATCAATATTTCTAGGAATATTCGAAGATGTTAATATCATCAGATCAAATTGATGTATTTATAGAATATATGGTATTTAATAAAGAACTGTTCTCCAGGAGTTGAACTGCTGTATTTGGTACAGGTAGACCAAAATAGTCTTAGAAAAAGAATAATGGCAGCAAAATATTATTGTTGTTCTGAAAATTTTTGATATTCAAATTTATCTTTCTTCAGTGCTTTGAGAAATGAGTTTTTCAAAGGATTTTAATCAATCTTGATTAATGTATCTTAAAACTTAATGTGAGACTTTAAAATAAAAGGAATTATCTCACTTCATTTGAGCTCAGATATTAAGACTTAAATGTAGAATTCTAGATAGTTAAAAGATGAAATTATTTAGAGACCTTCAACTTCAGGTATAATCTGAGATTTGAATGGGGTTAAGAGCCTCCCTATTCCTAGATCTTGAGACAACTCTGTAGCAGACCGGACATCCTAATAGGTGCTGTAATTTATGCCAACTCTTTCTGACACAGTGGACACAGTCTAAGAACTAGTCCTAAAATGAGGAAGCAAGAGCATCTCTTAATTTTTGTCTTTGTCAGGTTGCCCATCTCAGAGAGAACCAGCCCAGTATTCAAGATCTACCATGGTCCTTGCACATATCTTGAAACCTGGGTTCTCTTGGACATGTAACACACATGTGGTCCTACCTACTACACATATGAGGCTTCCTTCAGAATTTCTAGGATCTGGTTTCTGAAAACTGTTAATAACAAATATAGTTTGAATTAATTTGTTTCATTAAAAAACCCTATCCAAATTGAAAATCCGTATTCATTCATTACTGAGTTACACAGCTGATGATTACTTGCTATAGTATGGATCCCATCCATAATGGTACTATTAGTCCTTTAGATTTTAACTGATCATAGAGAATAGCAACACATAATGTGAGCACTGAAAAAAAAACCCCGTCTGGTAGGGTGAGAGATTCTACTGCCACTATGGACATATGAACATACAGGCAATGTAAGAGGGAATGGGAACAGGACCTTTCCCTGTCTTAAAGAAAGGACTAGCCAAAAATTTGGATGGTATTTTTTTTTTATAACTGACCTCAAAGAACCCACAATCCACATTATAGAAACAGTGTTTTGAGGAGCTGCTTATGAAACAAAACATAAACCTTCAGATCATTTTAACCTAACCTCCATTCTAGTACCTGTCTGATATTTAAAAGAAACATCAATCACTGGTTCCAAAGAAATCTGAAAGTAACAGCTTGTCTCTTAAAATTCTGGGAAAAATATCTCAAATAAAAGGTAACTTCAGAGAAGTAACAAAGAGAAAAAAAGAATTAATGTAGAATCTTATCCTTTTTCCTAGGAATTTCTATACATATGAAGAACCTTTTATAGAGAAGAAAAGTGAAAAGTGAGTTAAGTTCAATTCTGTGCACTAACTTTGCATCTAGAAGAAAATATGTGCTAAAATACATGTTTATAAATTTATGTTTTCTGTTCTTGAAGGTCATCAGAAAAGAAAGAAAACAGTATTCGTGTTGGCTTCTTTCAGCTGGTAATGAAAGCAGTGGCTACAAATATTTTATGGGTATTGTGCTGCAGAATAAGTGACAAAAACCTATATGGTTGCTTTGGGGAATAGTTGTGACTAAGCCAAACTTTTAAGGATTAAACCATTTGGCATGAAATCCTGCCATTAAAGTCAATGGGAATTTAATAGAACCCTTTGTCATTTTATCAGCTGGGCATCAGTTACTGATATTTGTGTCATAATTGTCTATTAAGCACATTATATTGAACCTACGGGTAAGATGTGGGGAAAGAGTTAATATGCACAGCAGGGACCTAAGTGTCTTGGTTCATTCTTATTTCTGCCAAAAATTTGCTGTGTGATATCTGGCAGATAATTTAGCTCTGTTGTAATTGCTCCATGGGTATTAGAAGATCTAGTAACTATAGAAACTTGGGAATGGACAATACTGTATGGTATGTCTAGCTTTTGATGGGTCTTGGAATCCCATAGGGTACATCTAAATTTTAAAATTTATGTAATAGAGAGATGTCCAACCTAGCAGCTTGCATCTAAGAGGTTTTATTACTTCTGCTTTGCATGTAGTCTAGGCAACTAGCTTGTAATGTGTCCAAATATGGTCCTGACTGTAGTACTGGGCTAGTGTAGTTACATCCATATGGCTTGTTCTCTACCTGGCTAAGTATCTCAGCCCTTGGCTGGGTGGGGAGAACAGCCTGTCTATACAGAGGGCTATGTCTGTCAAGCAGAGCTGTCTGAATTCTGTAGCCTGTTTTGCACAGATGTTTAACTCCTAAAGTGCAGCTGGTAAACAGAGTGTGTTTGAATCAGATGTGCTGAGAGATTAGGTATCACATATCTGTGCATTTTCTGTGTGGGTTTTTTTTTTTTTTTTTTTTTTTAATCAAGGGAATTCCTAGACCTCTTATGAGCAAGGTTTGCAAAACACTGGTAGTACTACAGTTTTCTTATTATGTTTTTTTTGTAGAAGGACCTTTTATTTATTTATCTTGTACATTAACTGACTTATTTTTTCCCTGTATCTCATCTCTGCCCTAATGTCCCTTTTCCATATGTGCGCCAAATTCCCACCTTTTCTTCTCACACATTATATCACCAACAGAACCTGGACAAGTTCTTCAGCAGGTTATGATTCCTCATTACACTCCCAGTTCAAAATATATAGCATTTGATACTGATATTCTATATGGACAGTTTGATCTGTATGTTTACACATGACTTCAGTCTGAGAATCAGACTTAACACAATAATGACAAAGGCAACAAGTTGCTGTATCTTAGCTGAGTCACCAGCTGCATGTGTGAATGCTCTTGGCCCACAGCAAATGTAAGGTAATAGGATTTAGCTCAATCCTTTTTTTACTGCATACTATGTCATATTTCTATAGATTTCTCCCAGATTAAGAGCCCATGCACAACTGGCTGGCTCAGCCAACACATTTTAGAATATTAACTAGAATTTGCTCTGAGATTCTTTGGTTTTCGACCACAGTACCCCAGACTTTTGAGAAATTGTCCAACTCTGTTCAGATGCTCTGCATAATGCCCTAAGGTTTTTTCCTCATTCTCTCTCTGTCCCCACAGGAAAACTGCAAAGCAGACTATATATATGAATTATAATTACTATTCTTAATCTTTTAGCCAGTTTCTGGAATGATGATAATGTGGAATGATATTGAGCTATTAATGTTATATGATAATACATTCATTCACATGGTCAGATTCTGCTAAAAGGGAGCTCATAATAATTTATGAGGCTGTAATCACAGGTGCGATTAGGTTAGATTGGAGAGAGAGAGAGACTTGTCATCTTTCTGTATTGAAGATAATTCTGAAATTTAAAGAGAATGATTTTGTATCTGACTTAACTGATTAACAATTTATCCGTATATAACCAGCATGATGATGGCCTCTCAGCAGAGACCATATTTTTTTCCTGTCTCTTTAGTTTCGATTTTCTTCATCTATGGAAATTTTAATGATGGTTCTTGGTGGTTTCTGTGCTATTGTTCATGGAGCAGCCCAGCCAGCTGTGTTGCTTGTGTTTGGTGCAATGGCAGACACATTTATTGAATATGACATTGAAATGCAAGAGCTTAAAGACCCAGGAAAGACATGTGTAAATAACACCATAGTGTGGATTAATGGTACTATTCATCAGAATGAAAAGAACGCCACAATAAGATGTGGGTAAGTAGTAGATGTATTTGTTTCTTTTCCTTTGTTATTATGTCTTGTCAGAGAACATGTTGCTAGTGAAGGTCCAGTTCAGCCTTTAAACCTTACATTTTCTATCCATAAGGCAGGAAAAGGGCATGGTTCTTGTTAGAGAGTTCTGTTTCTGAGTTGGAGATATTACTTGAAGGGACAGAAGGTCAGCTTGGGTCTTGGCCTTTCAGCTATAGATGCCAACAAGGATATATATTTTTATGATGATTGTTCTGATAACAGATGTACCTGATACACATCTGAGTTCATTAATCCGTTTTTTCTGGTGACAGTGTAGGTAATACTGACTTCTGGTCCTTCTGGCTAGGACTTAGGTACCTATAGGTACCTGCTGACTTCTGAGCTGGTTAGCTAAACTTTAGCCATTGGAGAGAAATGAGTGCTTATAGGATGTAATTCATCTCACTTTATGGGAGGTGTCTAAGGCACGTCAGATGAACTGCCCTGTAAGAGTGCCTGTTTCTTTCCATTAACCACAATAAATGGAGTCTTGATGATTAATTTAGATACAGATAACTGTCAAAGCCAAATTTGAACCTGTAACCTTTCATAACGTTCTTTTTCAGTGCATCATTCAAAGGGTTTTCTAATCTCTGAGTGACATTTAATTAGATATTTAATTAGAATTAAGAGTTGGTTGTCTGAAGGTCTCTGAAATTCAGAGCACATGGGAAGAGATTCACATTCCTACATGTAGGTGATTAGGGCCAAATTATTTGCTCCAGGCTGTCCAAACCAGCCCTCTGAGATGGGTCTGGCAGATAGCATACTGGATTTGCTACAGACCTCTGTTCCTCTGAAGCAACAACTATGCATCAGGTAGGATATATTAAAAAAAATGGTACTGGATATCTGTGTCAGGCATCTGAGATGTTTCCATGATTGTATTTTGCAGGAGATCAGGTCAGGTGCATAGTGTTCCATTTTGGCCTAAAACTTCAGTGTACCAAATTCTGGGTAAACAGAACAAAATTTGCTGTCTGCAGGATGATTTTAAAAAGTTATCTAAAAGCATAACTGATAATGACCTGAAATGCCTATTTCAAAGCAATATAAATGCAATAGCAGCAACTCAATGCCCTTCACTGATATTAGGAGTAATTTAGTACTCCCACTTGAACTAAAAAGAAAAAAAATCAGATTAGCAAGCTTATGATACAAAGTAATACTTGAGTTGACGTTAACAGTCCCCATTTCTCCCTATAAAACACTTTTTAAATCTGAATGTTATTAGTTGGTATAATGGCACAAAGCAAGCACATTCAACTTCTAATGAAAATTTGCTGGGCAGCTCTTCCCTGAAATACCCTCTCACCTGTACTGTTTCAGGGCATGCAGTCTGGCAGGGTTTCTCAGACTGCAGGGTTGCTCCAGGACAGCAGCGCATTTTCTGATACCTGCCAGCGCCCTATCCCTGTGCAACAGGCAGAGCAAACAAGCCACTGCTAGTGCTAGCGCCAGTATTGGTATTGGGAAACAGTGCTCCATTAGCAAAACAAGCTGACTTGCCAGCTGATGTGACTCTAACTCGGAGAAACAGCAGACTAGAAATTTGTGAGAAACTTAAAACAGTATTGCTAACTATCTTTTTTTTTCCCCCCCAGGCTGCTGGACATTGAACAAGAAATGACCAAATTTGCAGGTTACTATGCAGGAATTGGTTGTGCCGTACTTATGTTAGGATACCTCCAAGTCAGTATTTTGTTCCCCATTTTGATTTCAAACTTTAAATCACTAAATAATTAAGTTTATATTAACTGTGTTCCTTTTGACTGCTTAGTCAGCTGCCCATTTGAGCAAGGCAGATGCTTTCAGTTCTCATTCTATCAGCTGAAATAGGTTAGCTCTGGCAATCTGAGACCTCCTTGGATTTGTGCATGCATACATTTGTGTAAGGATATGTTGTTCTACCCAGTGAGATGAATAGATGCTGCTTCTTCCACACCACACAAAATACTTGTTCAAGTGTGGTTACTATGGAATCCACATGCCCTCCTGAAAAAACAGCTGAAAGGCATGCAAATTCCCAGTAGGCATCTCAGCTGCATTGAGCATTCTGTTTCCATTATAGAGATATTACAGAGTAACAATAGTGTAAAACCAATATTGAAGAAGAATCCCACCCTACCCATTCTGTAGTAATGGTTCAGTCCTTATGACACAGATAAGCCACAAACTTGGACGATTCCTGCATAATCTGCTAAAGGGTCCACTGCTTTTGAAGCTTTTTATAATTGCAAAAACCACTTGCCATTTTCCTTCCTGAAAACTATCCCAGAGTTTTGCTGAGGTGGGGTGGCTGCCATCCCTATATTACTTATAGCTGTAGATGGAACAATTTTTGTCCGTATGACATCCATGTAACAGTACAAGTGATTTAACTTGCATCTCCTCTCAGCCTATGAGAACTGAGACAAGGGTTTGATCCAGAGACTTTGTAAAATTGCTGGATTTTTTAAAGAACAAAGGCATGAAATAACTATCATGTCTGTATAGCTAGTATTTTACCTGAATAGTAATTTTATCAATAGCCAAATTGCTCTTTCCCATTTTAGCCAAATTGCTTTTTCCTATTTGTTTGGAGTAGAAAGACTTTTAACTACAATTTATCAGCCACATTATACTCTTCCCAGATCTGCTTTTGGGTTATGGCTGCAGCTCGTCAGATACAGAAAATCAGGAAAGCTTATTTCAGGAAAGTAATGCGAATGGATATAGGCTGGTTTGACTGTACATCTGTAGGAGAACTGAACACCCGAATTTCTGAGTAAGTAATCTAGAAAAACATATGCCACAGAGAACACTTTACACTTCCTTCCAAACATAACAGAATGGCAATAACTAGGCATTTGACAAACACCTTCTAAGAATATAAAATACAGCTATGTTCCTGGGAGCAGGGACCAGTCTGATTATCTCCCCCACCTTTGAACTGAGTGTCATAACTTTTAAGCCACTATTATTTCCTTTTTGTGCCTTAACTGTCAGTAAATGAGGATTTTTTTGGTTGGGTTTTGGGGTGGTGGGTATTTTTTGCCAGCTTGTCCTATCCTTCCCTTCTCCTCCCAGTCCTTTCAGAGTGATCTGTAATTTGGCCGCTAGTGCCACACTCCCTGAGGCTGGAGATGTGGGTTTGAACTAACTCTCACTTTCCAGACAAGAAAATTACATTATGAGCACACTTTGCTTTTGCTAGCTTTTAAAAGAAAAGAGTGAGCCTCGCTTAATCTTGCCAAAGAAGGTACAAGCACCTACCTTTAGAAAGGGACCCAAGGTAGACGAAGAAACCTTCTTATCCCGAGTAAACATCTAGCCCTGAGAAAAGCATAGTTTAAGGCTTGCTTCTTTTGGTAGTGGTTCCTGTTTACAGGCTGAAGGCAGCTGCGGGGTGAATATGCCGACTCTAGATGGCTCCCTGTTCTCAGTCGTGCCTGCATTAATTGTAGTCAAATTTGTGGAAGATTTTTTTCTGTAAAGGAGATTTTGTTTGCCTTTACTTACTGCCCAGTGGTATCTATGACCTTCTGTCGTGTTCTTTTTATGAAGAATAAATGCCAAGTGTAAGTCACTGTGAAGAGTTTCTCTGGCAAAAAAAAAAAAAAAAAAAAGGACTGAGCTCATATTTGTCTAATAAATAACACTTAGTTCCCTGGTTTTATGAGCAACATTTTCCTGTTCTTACAAAGAGCTTCCTGACTGCAAAAAACCCTATCCAGAACAAATATAAACATGTTCTTCAAATCAACACTCCTAAATGTTTCAGTAGAGGACTGTAATTTTACCTGATATATGAATGAGTTGACAACTTTGCACTTTAAACCTCAACCCCACTTGCTCCCATTTATTCCAGGATTTCCCAGTTCTTCTACTCTCAGGGCTGGGGTAGTAGCCAAGAGTGGCAGAAATATTATGACTGTTTGGCTTTAAGACAGTTTTTGTGTGTTGGCAATGCATAAGAGAAAATAAATTAACTGCAGCTGCCTAGGGGTCAAATGATGTTAACCGCTGCACCACTGTCCCCCATGTGATAGAGCTGTCATGTTTTCCCACTGCCTCCAGTGTTAAAGTGGCCCTCCTCAGTTTTCCCACTCTTCCTCTCATTTAGAGAACAAACTACCTGATAGGCTGGGGAGAAGAACCAGGAGGTCATGGAAAGTGGAACTAGAAGAGAGTTATAGCCTTCCTCCCTTTTCCTGCCCCCTCAGCAAGGTGATATGGTACATTCTCAGTGCCCCATGATGGGAGGAATGTCATATCAGCTATACTGTTTTTCCATTATCAGATAGATGCATCCAGCTGGGATGTCTCTGCCCTCTCCATTGAATCAGCTGGGGCACAGGTAGTAAGAAGCAGCTAGTGAATGAGTCTGCTGGCAGAATGACTTTTCCTAGGAAAAGACAATATAATCTCTGAGTATTCATGTGTAAAAGTCTTCTGCCATTATAAAGGCACCAGAGTTTCTCAGTGTAGCCCAGGATTTCTGGAAGGGGTGATGGTGGAAAGCATAGGGGTGAGGAAGGGACCTCTCCAAGGGAAAGCAACTAATGCAAATGTGGCCAAGGCCTGCAACACAAACAAAAGATATGCTCACTAATCTTCTATTGGATTTTTTTTTTTCCAGTGATGTTAACAAAATTAATGAGGCTATTGCTGACCAAGCAGCAATCTTTATCCAGCGCTTAACCACCTTTGTGTGTGGATTCCTACTGGGGTTTGTCAGTGGCTGGAAATTAACCTTGGTTATCATAGCAGTCAGCCCTCTGCTTGGGGTTGGAGCAGCTATCTATGGCTTGGTAAGTGAATTGTGAGAGGTTCATGTTCAGGTGTTGGTAAAAGACTATTACACCCCTTTAAAGTCAAGAGAGGCAGATTATGGTCACAGCAGCACCAGGGGTGGAGGCAGGGGGAAGGCAGGCTTTGCTCCCGCTTTGCTTATTCTGATTCCCAGAATAATGTATCCTGCTTCTAAGATGAGAGAGTAAGCATAACTTCTACTGGGTCCTGTGGATGGATATTAAGGTTGCTGAGATCAGAATCTGGCCTACACATTCTTTCTATTACTACACACCTGGTTTAGATGGTCAGTAGACATGGGGCTCAATCATCTCTATGTAGATTAGGCACTTTTAGAGATGAACAAGTTTTGGAGCTATAAAATAGTTGAAAACAACTACTCAAACTTACCTCAAGCTGTCCCTGCTCCTGGAAGCTACTGTGTCCCCTCCCAGTTGCTCCTGTTCTGCTTCTCCATCGGCTCCCTACAAACTCCGGGTCACTGTGCAGAGAAAGGACAGTGAAGAGGAAAACTTTGGTATCTTCTGCCTTTTCACCTCCTCTCCCACGCTCAGCTGGGCTGGGCAGTTCCTGCTCTTCCTCTGCACTCTCTCATACTCTGCTCTTTGGTTTTGTTCAGCCCTTTGCGTATCTCACTTCTACCATGCCAGGAAGTTTGCTGTGCTTTTGCTATCAAACTTCTAATGTAACTGACTAATTTCTCATCTTCCTGCTCTCCTTTAGCAACTTATACTGGCTGTAAGTAGATGACATGAATAATGACTCAGTGTGAAGTAGGAGAGCAGAATCCTGGAAGTGAATTAAATAAACTCCAAAATGCCTCTTTCCTTCATCTGCAATTCCTTTCTGAGCTCATTCCCCTTTATGTTTGTAATTTCCCCCCTTTCCATTCTTATTTCTCTGTCTCTTTCTCTTTCCTTTCACATACCCACTGTTAAGTGTTTCCTCCTTACAACCTTTCCAGCCCAAGTCCTTGTTTTTTACCATAAAGAAAACAGACTGAAGGTCAATCTAGTCTGGTTTCCTGTCTCCAAAAGTGGCTAATAGATGCCTGGGCTAGGGTATTTGAAGAGAGAAAGCAAATAATGACACTTTACAGTTTCTAGTGGTATGTCATTCCCAAGCCAATGTGATACCTTCATGCAGAGTTGTACATGACTAGATTTTATTCTGTTAATTTGAGCATTTTCTTGAGCCTAGGTCAGTTTTGAGCATCCAGTGTGCTCTGAGCTGCTGTATAGGGACCTATTTGTTGCCAGCCTAAGAAACAAAGCACAGTGGTGGGCAACATCTGTTTGCATCCTTCTCCATCAGTATCATTCTTCTTCCTGAAGCTGGGCTCTGCCACAGTGTCTAAAGGGCTGCTTTTGCCCCTTAAGCTCTCCCTTTCTCCCACCATGTAAAGACCCTCAGTCTGCAACCTACTTAAGTCCTGTTAGCAGCAGGGAGGGAGGGAAGGAAGGAAGGAAGGAAGGAAGGAGGTGGGGAGGGAAAGCAGGTGGTGTCAGTGTTTCTTTCTAGCTACCTGGAGCAGAGCTGTTGATCAAGGGGATAACTATTCTGCGAAAGATGTCACAGAGGTATATGCCCTAATATTGGAAGACAGAAGTCTGTGAGTGTGCAGAATACCTAGTAAAAGCCTGTTCAGAGTGGAGGAGGTGACCTCATGCAGAGCAGACCTCGCAGTGTGACAGCCAGCACTGCTTACTGCTGTCCTTGTCTTTATCTACAGTTCAGGTTTAACCAGCATTTCTTACGCTTTTGTAGGCTGTGGCAAAACTAACAGGCCGAGAATTAAAGGCTTATGCAAAAGCTGGAGCTGTGGCTGATGAAGTGCTCTCATCCATCAGAACAGTGGCTGCTTTTGGTGGGGAGAAGAAAGAAGTTGAAAGGTTTGTTTGGACAAATTGCAAGGTCTCTGATTTCTTTTTCCTGTAGCAACGTAATGTTGTAATTCACTTCAGAGTCATGGCAGTTAGTCTCCAAATTCTACAACAATGAGCATCTGTTAGCTTTGAGAATTACGTGCAGGCATGTTACAGAAATCTAGGTTTCATATAACATTACATACGCAAAACCAGTTTCATAATTTAGTCAAGCAGTGAAATAAAGCATCAGCAATACTATCTTCAGGTCATTCCCACTAGCAGGAACATACTGTCAAGTTTTCCCATTGTATGTACATTGTATGATATATCACTTTTGCAGCACATCTGAAAACTTTGCGTACTTTCAAGCTAAATAAGAGAAGTAGTTCCAGCAAGACATAATGATTTGATGGTGTTAAACTGCTAATTTCTTTTAAATTCATTCAAAACATAACATGGGTGTAGGACATGCTCAAATCCTGTGTCAGTCTGCTAAAACCCCAGGCCCCCTGGCAAGGTATCTGCAGTGAGTGTGGCTTTTCTTGTCCTTATTACACTAGAACTTTCAGGGATTACATGATCTATGAGCACTGATGGTTTCAGCAGTGGTGTCTCACTTCAGACTGAGAGGTATCAACCTTATGCGGACCCTCTGTTGACTGTAGCACAGCTGGCCATTGAAGATGCCTCATTTTGTTGGTCTTTGCTCATTGTGAATTTTATATCAAATGATTTTCATCCCCCTTTTTTTTTTTCTTCTATTTCTACAGATATGATAAGAATCTGGTGTTTGCTCAGCACTGGGGAATTAGAAAAGGAATAATAATGGGATTATTCACTGGTTACATGTGGCTTATAATTTTCCTGTGTTATGCATTAGCCTTCTGGTATGGCTCTAAACTTGTACTTGAAGAAGAAGAGTATTCACCTGGCACTCTTCTGCAGGTACCTATTATAGCTTGATGCAAGTTTTCTGGACTGTTTCTTAAAACATTAATTCTGGAACACATATTTGTAATGTTCTGGTATCTGGTTGCTTAGTGGTAACAAACACTGTGTCTTTTAAAGATCATGACTAAGTTTAGGTATGAAAGCATCTGGCAAAATTGGATAAGATTTTAAAAAAATCTGTTTATTTTACAGTTTTGAAATGCTGCTTACAGTGGTTAGAATAATACTTTCGTTTGAGAGCCTACTACACAATTGACAGAGGCCTGAAACTAGCTTTCCCATTTTGTGGGTCAGCATGTGACTTCTGAGTATTGGCTTCTCTAAAGAACTTGTTTTGTGATGGAAAACACTAATGTGGTAAAGAGAAACCTAACCAAAGAAAGTTTTATGAAATCTAACCTCTCTCTCATGAACAGTTTCTGTTCCTTTGAATCACCATTTTCTGTTGCTAATTGCCTATCCAGCTCTGTAGATGACAAAGAAGATGTAAACATATATGCTAATAAAAGCACACATGGCTGTGGCTCCTGCAGCGTGTACAAAAACCATATTAACCTGCAAGGCACTCATGCATCCACTTCTGCATAGTAGATGCTATAGATACTGATGACCTAAATGCAATAAAACCAACATCGACACATATTTTGGTCACTTGCTTTAAGCCAGGACTGCCCAAATGGCAGGCTCCAGTCCAGACCTAGAGTAAATTTTCCCTGAGCCTTGTTTAAGTTTTGGGTGTTCTGATGAGACATCTATTTTTGCTCCTTCTCTGCCTGTTGC